CATATATATGGATTTAATTATGATATCAGAATGATCCAGGTATCAAAATGTAGCTTTTAAAGCCAAAAACCTGAAAATGTAATTACCGGTAGGTCATTTTGACCAAATTTGACTTAATCCTCATTTCGATATGATGGGTCACATATTAGAGATGTTTTTTTTTTAATAGCGAAAGATGATGTAAATACTTGGGTCACATCTACCAGGTTGTTGTGCAGGATTTAGCAGGGACTCCAAACCACAGAAAATCTGCACGATGCTGCTGAGCTGCCTGTTGATTTGAATGTCCTTCACCCACGCAGGGCTGTGACACACCACACAGCCGTCCCCTGCCCGGGGGCCAGCACAAGACCTGAGCAATAAACCTTTGTTAGATTGGAGTCTGCTTTACAGTTCAGTTCAAAGAAATACAGCTATTGATTCACCCTCTAAGTAGATTCAGTCATGAAGACAGGGAACAAGGCTGGTAGTTCATCCCTACAGAGACATTAACTGTCTTCACAAGTGTAAACTATGTGTTGTCAGCATTTTCATCTAGAGAGAGAATAATCCTGCTGGATTCAATAATTCATCGTGCATGTGGGGGTGGTGAAACAAGACTATTTCCACTGTGGCCATTTGATGCACCATAGCAGGAAAAGCACACCGCTGGTTTTTAAACACCATTTAGACCAGCCAGTTCGCCCCGCCAGCGAACCAGCATGCACAATTTCGCAATCCTGGCAGCAGTACCCTTAAATGGAATGAAGCAATCATTACCATTATTAGCTACACCTGCGTTGGGCGAATAAAAATTCCTGCCACGGTGCAAGTCTGTCTGAAACGAGCGTATCACAGCAAGGTTACATTACCTGCACAGCATATGCTCGCACATGCCCAGACAGACGGGCTCCTTCATCAAATCAGAGCTGGAAAATAAGACAAAAAAATTGAAACATAGTCAATTCAAMCTCACCTCTGCCCTGGAAGAAGTCATTCGAACATGTAGCATGTAAATACACAGGAAAAAAGCAGGACTTTGAAGGTTTATTGTTATTAGAGGTGKTTGAACATATAGAAAACTAATCTGAACATCTGCAGTGCCTTTATCAGACCTAACATAAACTACAGAATAATCAGAACCTCTGCCCTTCCATGGAAGCACTCCCCCACCTCTGACTGTGTAATGGCTTATTGCTATGGGCACCTCAGCATCCTGCTGCATCCAAACAAAACACTTACCCGAGCTGAAATAAACCACCAACACCAATCACAGCCAAGCAAACAAAACACATACCATGAAAAAGCAGCAGCACCTCACCAGAAGGTGCTCATTGTTCTGTATCTGTTTCCAGCACCTCATGCTGCTGTTTTGAAGCTCATTCTACCTCGAAATTAGTTTTCAAAATATATCTACGTGTTCATCCTCAGGTTGCTGTGACTTCTATACTACATGTTCTTCTCGCACCGTGGGGTTTTATTTACTTTAAAACATATTACCAAACGTATTTCATGCTTAGACTACTGTCAGCCGTTAAAAATGAAATGTATGACTTCTTTAAATAGTCTGTAATGCCTCACATTTTTTAACTATATGATTATTTCTTACAAGTCGCTTGATAAATTTCGAGATTAAGTCAAGAGAGTTCGAGAGTTTATTTTTTTTTCTACCACAGAAATGATCACAATTATGCATTAGTTAATAAAAAAATCCTAAGAGCTTCGCTATGCAGTTCAGATGTTTGTTAAATTTGCGCTATCACTTACCATTTGGAACAAAGAAGCAGTTTGCGGAARTTTGCGACCGCCTCTTTTGTGTTTTTCCACTCCTCAGTCTGCAGTGCRGCGTTTTCATCCATGCTTATAAGAAATGTTTATTTTACTTGTTTACTGGTGAACTTTTTGTGTGTGTTTCTAGAGCAAAACCGCTACGAGTTGAATTACTTCCTGGTTTGTCGCATCTCCCGCCAGGAACTTCCGGAAGTGATGTCATCATTTTAAAAAAGTAAAACTTTTGCAATGCACGTCAACTCTACTGATGTCTTCACAGTATGTTGTAGTAGTAGTAGTAATAATAATAATAATAATAATGATGATAGTAATAATTATAGTAATAATAATAAATGTATTTTGTCACTGTGAAGATGCAGGTTCCAAATATATTCATTTTGTGTTTCACCCATGTGRAATTAATTCATATTATTATTATTATAATTATTAATTTATTTAGTTAAACACTATATTTTGGGGTTTGAATTGATGTTTCACGTGTTTTCCTGTTTAAGCACACCTGTTTTCAATTAATGGACTATTACTGATTTGTGCTGACACTATGACCTGCTGAGRAGGTATTAGCCATGTGAACAAACTGTTAGAAAAGGGAGACAGAAAGATGCAGGACAGAGGGCCCTGCAAATCATGATATGGCAAGACTGTGTATTTGGAAATGGTAAAACGATTGAATGGGTTGCTGTTGTATTACAAACTCAAGAAAATGATGGAAAAGAGAACAAAAGGCTGAAATACTAATTTTTCAAACACCATCCTGGCATATATTTGCTGCATATCATCAATATATCACATATATACTGTGTGTAGTTGAGAGACTAAGTAAGAAAAAAAAATCACCATGGTAGAAAAGACCACATGTGGGAATAGTTTAAACAAGTTGGGATTTAAGATAATTTTTTGTTTTATTAATGCATGTCTGGAAGCAGGGGCAATAAGAAATGATTATCATCTCCGATCCTCAGCACTGCAGTAAAGCTAATGTAGTTAAATAATTGCACGAGCTCAAGATCACTTCTAAAAACCTTCAGTGAAAACACAAAAACAAGTTAATAACTGTCCCATGATAAACTTATATACAACATATTGCAATAGCTTTTTTAATATACTGAATTAACAGGAATCATAAACATGTTTTTTTTTCAAAACTGGAGAGAAAAAACAGCTTCTCATTTAGCGTTATGTTGTTTTTTTTATTTTGATTTCAGAATTGTTTTTTTTACTTCAAACATTTCACAATATTTATCTGTGGAACTTTGATGAAACCCATTAAATTTATTGAACTGCAGGAACAATTGAAAAATTGTTTTATTGTGATCAAGAAATATAATCTCAATGTGTATTTAAGATCATACTTAAACAGTAGAAAAGCAGGAAATCTAGAGTCATTAAATTCAGTAAAGACAATCCAAAATTGAGAAATATTCTTGTTTAGGAAAAATACTATTTTATGTTTAAAAAATAATGTTTTCTTTTACGAATGTTGATCAAGTTGGCATAAATGTATGTGCTTCATATTTAAACATGTCCACCTTTCCATTTCACATTTTATAATATAAAATGTGTTATACAATCAGAACATGGGAACGTTAAACAGAACCAAAGAAAATCACAAGATTGATAGAAATAGATGTTTATGGGAATGTTCTGAATCCCAACCACAGAGAGAAATAAAACAGCACATACATAAGGTGGGGAAACCAAGTGTGAAATAGAAAAACATAAGTTATTTTTTATAACTTCATTTGTGCATCAATGCATTAAAGTGAATACAGTTTTCTGCTCCTCATTACAGATTTGATTCAGTGTCATTTATATCATCAGTCAATACACTTTTGGAGATCAATCATTTTCTACACACTTTGTTTTAGATTTATGTATTTAACGTAACTGTATCTAAACGTAAGTTTAGCACATACATTGGCAGTGTTCTTCATCTTAAAATGAACAAAATACCAAAGAAAAAAAAAAGACAGCCAGCTTTATGATGTTACAGCCTTAATGGAGTCCGACCCATCGTCGTCGCCTTCGCTGTGAATCGGTACCGTTTCCATGCCAGTGTTTTCCATAGCAAAATTGATGAAGACCTGTGGAGGTTCAATTATAATTTAAGAGACGTGCCAATAAATAAGGTGACAACTTTCTCTGAAGGAAAGAGTAAATTTTAGTTAACCAAATGGATGAGCTTCCCACGCTAACCCCCCTCTCTTTCTCCTGGTTGTGGTGTCTTCCAATCCCACAGCCCCAGAGGTTTTAGAGTAGTTGAAGGATATCAGCTTTGGCTGCATATAAAGCTCATGGATTCTCTCACTAACTCATATTCCATTTATTTTCCCTCAGGCCTACCCTCTGTCAGTTCCCCTCTCCCCTCTTTCTCTGCTCTTTCTTTTCCTCCTACTCAGCTTCCATCTGGCCCCTGCATCCCCTACCAACCTCTCGCACCTTCTCTCATCTCGTCTTTTTTTCCCCTCCTGTCCCTTGCTACCGTCTACCCACCCCTACAAAGCCACACACTGGTTCTCCCTCATTTTCAGTTTATATCCTGTCTTTTTTTTTTTTCTCTCACCTCATCCAGTGTGGTCTGGCTCACAGAGAAGTGTTTGATCCGCAGAGCATTTTTGTTGGACTCCAGCTGGTTGAAGATGTCAGCAACCCCTCCAGGAGCGTTTGGTACATGGTACTCCACCATGGCAGAGTGCTGGTCCTTTGTGTCCAGACAGAATGTTAAAATGAGACATTAAAAGTTGGAAAAAGTGTAAAGGTCACAGTAAAAAAATACAGTAAATATACTAAACATAACCTAAATTCCTAGGACATTTAGAGAACACATCTGTATTTTTTTGTTGGTCAACACAGTAAATTCTACATAAATATAGCTGCAGGAATAAACCTGGAGCATTGCATGTCCTAAAAAGCTCAGCAAAGAAAGTCAGCTGATTCTTTAAAAAGGACAATGCAGCTCAACAGATTCGTAATCAATACAATAACATAGGATATTAAAAAGGGATTGAACAGTAAAAACAACTTTTACCTCACTAACACATATCCCTTAGAATCCATTGCTGCTTACATGCATTGATGACAAAGTAAAAATAAAAATAACTTAACAGAAATTCAGTTTTGTAAAAATGAACTTCACTGATAAGGAAAGTACTTCATTAAAAGTCATAAAACTGCTCACAATAATTGGGAAAGTAAAAGCACTTCTACATACACTCTAAGAAATGAAGTGTTGTATTTACTTTACCAAGTTATGTCAGCTGGCTCCACTGAGCCAAGATGAGTAAATGTAAAGCAATTTACATGTTTTCCTTTAAAAGAAAATGGGTAAATTACTCAGTTTAATTAAGTAAATTAAACACTTCATTTTTTTAGAGTGCATAAAGAACTTTCATGATTAGTTCTGGTCATTTTTAAATTTGTAGCATCTTAAGAGGTGTTAAATTTTAAAGTAAAGAATTAAAAGTACATATTTATGTTTTGAACGTAACTAAATAAATTTAAAAGTTACAATTTAGGATAATACTTGGTAAAAATGACAGATCCTCAAAAAATACTTAAGTACTGTAATGAAGTAAATGCACTTTGTTATAAACCTTAGTTTAAATTGTATTACATTTGGATAATACTGGATTATGGATCTGAATGTAGATCTGACTGTGCTAGATTAAGTAATCGGATGCCAAGAACTGTGTTTATATATATATATATATA